CCATCTTCCGCCCCTTCTGGTCGCTCCTCTCCACGAAGCACGAACCATCACCACCGCCCCCTCCGTCACCAACGCACCACATCCTCGCCACCACCACCCTCGCCGCCGCCACCCCGCCCCCACCGCCTCCCTCACCCGCAGCTGCCCCCCCGCCTCCCACACACACACCTCCCGCCGTACCGCGCAGGGTTCCCCGGGACGGTCACCGCGGTGCACGACGACGGTACGTGCGACATCTTTTACGAGGACGACGGCGAGTCCGAGGAGCGCGTCGCGCCTCGCTTCGTCAAGGTTCTGAGCGACGCCGCCGCGCGCGCCACGGCAGAGGAGCAGGCTCGACCCGAGCCCATGCCGCGGGCAAAGCTTCCGCAGGGTTCGATCGGCAAAGCAGGCGGCGGCAAGGCGCCGCTCGCTGCCTCCGAGGCGGCGCTGTGCAGCCAGCTCGAGCGGTGCAGAGCGGCGCTTGGTGGCGCCGCCCTCGCCGCCGGCGAAGCAGCTCTGTGCGAGGTGCTCGAGATGGCCCGTCGCGCGGTGCCCGACGCGGGCCTCGCAGGCGGCCTCCGCGCGCTGCTGCTGCTCGGCCCGGTGCAGGCGCAGCTGCTGCAGGCGGTCGAGGCTGCCGCCGCGGCCCTGGCGCTCGACCCTCCGTTGCGGGCGGGTCCGCAGCTGACGAGCGGCGTCAGCCAGGTCCTCGCCATGCCCGACGCGGCGCTCGCCCCTCCCGCTCGCGCCGGCCTCGCACACCTCCATGCTCGGCTCAGCGCGGCGGCGGAGCAGGCGGCGGAGCAGGCGGCAGAGCAGACAGACGTGCGCGCTCCGCGCGACGACGTCTCGGCGATCCCCGGCGCGGGAAGGGGAGGGGGCGAGGGCAAGGGGGGTGGCGGCAAGGGGAGTGAGACGCGCCGGGCAGCGCCCACCCGCGGCGCCGACTCCACTTCGCTCGCGCCCGCGTCGGACTCGCGGTTGGCGGCGCAGGCTGCACCGGAGGCGGCGGAGGCGGTGGCGGCGCAGGCTCAGGGTGCGGCGGCGAAGGGCGCGGCGCAGCTGGTGGCGGCCTGCACGGAGCCCGAGGCGGAGGCGGAGGAGGCGGAGGCCGCAGGCTCAACCTCGTCGCCGCCTCCGACCGCACCGCCGACGCCAGGGGGGGCTGCACCCGTCGCCGCAGCCGCGCCGCTCGCGGCGGAGGCGGTCGTGGCGGAGGCGGAGGGGCTGAAGCTGCACCTCTCGAGCAGCAGCGCCACCGGCTACAAGGGAGTGCGCGAGCACTGTGGCCGCTTCGAGGCTGAGCTGCAGCAGCTGGCCGCAGATGCGCGGCGGGCGGCGGCGGAAGCGGGCCTCACGCTGCTCCGCAGCCACTGCAGCCTCAGCGGCTACCGGGGCGTGCTGAGAGATTCAGACAGCACCGTCGGGTTGAAAAACCCGTACCGCGCTCAGGCGCGCCCGCGCCTCTCCCCCCGTGGCCTCCGCCCCTGCCTTGATCCGTGCCTCGCTCAACGCTTTCTCCCCTCGGTTGCAGGTGCGACGAGGCGGGCGGCGGGTCACGCTCGGCCGGTTCGCCACCGCGGAGGAGGCGGCGCTCTGCTACGCCCGCTCCCCCGAGGGCGAGGCGGAGGCCAGGCTCGCCTTTGACTCGGAGCGCCAGCCAAAGGCGCACGGCCCGCGCTCGAGCGCGCAGCGGGCTCTGACGCCGCACTCGAACGTGCCAGAGCGAGCGAAGAGGGAGGGCCCGCGCGGCGGCGTGCGGAAGCGCCAGCTCGACCGGCCGATACACTCCGCTGCCTCAGCTCCGCGCGGGTGGCAGACGGACGGCTCTCTGGACGTCATCAGCTCTGGGGCGGAGGAGGCGGAGGCGCGGGAGCCGGAGGGCGGCGCGGAGGCGGCCCGCGGCTGGGATCCCGCGCCCGCCGAGGCGGAGGAGATCGAGGCGTACGCGCGGGCGGTCGGCGAGTATCAGCCTCCGCCTTTTCCGACAGTGGCGACGGAGGCGGAGGGCTTGCGCTTGCACCTCTCGAGCAGCAGCGCCACCGGCTACAAAGGAGTGCAAGAGCACTCTGGCCGCTTCGTGGCGCGGCACAAGGTGGACGGCAAGGATGTCTACCTCGGCACCTTCGGCACTGCGGTGGAGGCGGCGGTGGCGCACGCGCGGGCGGTCGGCGAGCCTCCCCCTCCTCCTCCGACGGTGGCGGCGGCGGCGGAGGGCTTGCGCTTGCACCTCTCCAGCAGCAGCGCCACCGGCTACAAGGGCGTGCACGAGCTCGCCTCTGGCCGCTTCCGGGCGCAGTACAGGGCGGGCGAAAGGAGGGTTTCCATCGGCACCTTCGACACGGCGGTGGAGGCGGCGGTGGAGTACGCGCGGGCGTTCGGCGCTGCCGGCGGCAGCAGCACGAGTGGCGGCGGCGTCTCCGAGGACGCTATGCTGGCGGCGGCTGCGGCGGCGGCAGATCCGGAAGAGATCGTCACGACGATCGTGTGCGACGGCTGCGAGGCGGAGTTTGAGCTGCTGCCCGGCGAGCTCGTCCCAGGTGGCGACTGGTTCTGCGCGGCGTGCAAGCCCGCTCAGCCGCAGGGAATCGCGGCGGAGGCGGACGAGACCGCGCTCGGAGTCCCTCAGTTTGGGACGGCTCCCAGCTGGTGTGACCTCCCCCC